AAACGCCTGAACACCCCTGCTGTCTTAGCAGTGCTAACTCACCTGATGCCTGCAGAGGACAAGAAATAAGACCAGCACCAGTCCAGTCTACTTTGCTTTTTTTTTTTTCTGTCCTGCTTTTGCATAATTCTTGGCTGGCTCTGATAATTTAACTGGATTCAAAAAAAGATGGGTTTATTTGTGATACTACTAAAAAACTAGGGCTTCCCATATACTCTATTTTTGCTAGTATATTTCACTTACACGAAGTGACTGGTCTCTTGGATTCAGTGGATTCATACCGTACACTCTAGCCCTGTGACCTGCACCCAGGGCTGTGACCCTCTTCCTTGTCCTTCTCCCCGCTGCCTGTCCCAGACACTTTCTGCTTTCATCGGATGTAGTGTTTACCTGTGTGCTTGTATGTGCACCATGTGCATGCCTGGTTCCCTCAAAGGCCAGAATAGGGTGTTGGATCCCCTGCAACTGGAATTATGGATAGTTGTAAACCTCCATATGGGCACTGGGAACCAGTCCTGACCGGTTCCCTGCAAAAACACCAAGTGCTTTTAAACAGTGAGCCATCCCTCGAGCCTCTTAAGCAAACCCCTTCTACCTGAAGCATGACCCACTTTCAAAGGGTGCATTTGGAAAAATAAAATCATCACCTTGCGAGGCAATGCAATAACTGACCAACAGTATGACGTTAAATTAATGATAGTCAGCCTCACAAGCAGTTGGTTTTTTTGTTGAACTTACTATCCTCAGAACAGTGTGGATCACTCATGAAGGCATTACCACATCGCTTGGTATATACATACAAATTAAACTGTATCACAATCCCAGGGAAGTTCCATGTCTCCCACATGGAACTCCAACTAATTGTTTAAGGCAGCAAATGTATCTGAAAGTCCAGAGGAGAGGGAAATACATGGGCAAGACCTCCCCCAAAGATGAGCTACATCCTACAAGGTTATTTATTACCAAATCTTCTTCCGCCATTTCCTGATTCTCAACCAATGGATCCTAGTAGTTTTATTTGCCTTCTCAGAATAAGAAACTCAAAGAAAACTCAAGAATACAAGTCCTCATACTTAGTGCATTTGCATTTCCACTTAAAACACCTTTTTCAGAGCACTACCCGTAATTCCAAGGACACTAATAATAGAAAGTGTGTAACTTCCCCTTGGGTAAGTTCCCTGTTCTTCTGACAGTCTGTCTTCTCCCTCATTCACATAATAAACACCTGAGAGCCTGAGACCTCATGCTTCTTATGCCTTCCTGTAATTCCCATGGATAAGCATGGCCTGATTCTTACATCATAATCTAGTCACTCAAGAAGAGTTCCCATATTTGGTGAAGTTGATAGTGTAGCCTTTGAAGCTCCAAGCAGAACTGGTTGTCTTGGGTATTCCTATAGTTGCTTCCTCTGGTCTCTATTATGCCAACCAAATACAGTACTTCTTATTTCCTCTGATCATACTGTTTCCATAGTGCATTAAATGTACTTTTAAAGAGATACCAAGATTCCTTTAGCTCTATGAGTTCAGTTCCACTTTGTAGTGCCCCCACCCCCATATGCACAAACCTGGAGATATGCACATTGGCAAATGAGGTCTAACTGAGTAATTGAGAATACCCAAGTTAATTTTAAAACGCATCAAGTTAATATAGCCTCACGTTAAGCATATTGTTTTTAGCTACTTTGTTTTAATTCGTTTAATACAATAAAGCTTAGTTCAAATTCATTTGAACTCGTCAGTTTTTTTTTTCCAATTCACTAAAATGTTTCTATTCAACTATTGTTTTTAAACAACTAATGAATCTTTTCTCTCTGGTTCTCTTGTGCAAGTGAGGTTTTTTTTTTTTTCCTATGCAAACTTTAATGTGTAATTGCTGTGTCTCCCCTTTATCTCTCTTTGTGATACACCTTGGCAGACACTGGTTGCTTTGTGAGTTGGGTGGAAGGGGCATACATGTATACGTGGAAAGAATAGACATCAGCACAACTATTCCTTAGTGAAATTCTTTACCTCGTAAGCTGGATTTCAGAGACTGTCATCCAATTCCAGCAAACTGGAAGTCTTTTCAGCACTGATGCTGCAGAGGTTCATTTATTTAACACTAAGTTGACATTTCTTCTCCTAGCACCACAAAGTAAATGAATAAATAAATGTCTCTTCTCTTTGTACTGTGGGTGCCAGGGAGCAGCATTGAGTGAGACAAGCATCCTACCGTTAGTCCAGACTTATTCCAGCAGAAACTGATAAACTTCAAATAAATCAGATACTCAGCCTGAAGATATAACATTCGATTTGCTGATAAACAACTTCAAGGCCATATCTACTGTCTTGATTAAGGTTTGTACTATTGTGAAAAGACACCATGACAACAGCAACTCTTATAAATAAAAAAAAAAATTATTTAATTCGGGTGGCTTACATTTTCAGAGGTGTTAGACCATTATTATCATGGTGCAACATGGTGGTGTCCAGGCAGACATGGTGCTGGAAAAGGAGCTGAGAGTCCTACATCTTGACTCACAGGCAGTAGGAAGTGGTCTGAGACACTGGGTATAGTATGAGCATATATGAGACCTGAAAGCCCACCTCCACAGTGACATAGTTCCTCCAACAAGGCCACACCCCCACAGTGACACACTTCCTCCAACAAGGACACACCTCCTATAGTGCCACTCCCTTGGGGCATTTTCTTTTAAACCACCATATCTACAATCTTATATTCTGTAGTGTTGAGTCTGATTTAGTTTCATGGTGCTCCCCTCATCTTGATAGGGTTATATGTCCCTTGTTGTAATATAAGAGAGGAAAGATGAGAGCATCCTGAGGTCAAGCTTCTTAATGTTACATTAGCATTACTTTATGATCAACATCATAAAAGTTGCCATTCAGCAAAAATTTATTGTGCATTATATTAGTCAGGGTTGTCTCATGTTCTAGACTTACTGACACATAAATGTTCTTAAATTGAAGAGATGGAGACATAAAAGAATTGTTGATGTCTACTCCAATAGTGAAGTAAAAACTTGATTAACTATGAGAGGAGTACTACCAAAGCAATAGAGACCTCTTTTCTGCCTGGGGAAGGGTCTCCATGAGGGGATATCTATCCTGAGTCTTGCAGGTAACAGGAGGTACAGCATACTTCTTTAGTCACTGATTACCTTGTATGTGCCAGATACTATAGTAGACCCTGTAGACACAGCAGTAAAGAAACAGACAGTGGACACATAGACAAATATGTACTAGATAGCAGTGTATACTAAGGCCAGAGGGGAAAGCAGAGGAGCCAGGGCTGAAGTTTGCAGAGAGTGATCAGGGGTATTCTTTTCTAATGAGAATATCTAAGCAGACTCCTAAACAGTACTGAGACTGAGAAGCAGAAAAACTGTTGGGCAGGAGGAGCAACATGAACAGGGGCACACAGGGTGCAAACATCTTCAGGGAAAGATAGCAGGATTCTCCCTGACCACGAGCTAAGAATGGGGAGAGGGTTAATGAATGGACCGAGTAGTTGTACAGTCCTGTGAACAGACCTCATTGTCAGCTGAGAGAAGAGGGGCCGGCCGGCTTTGGAGATATTCAAAGAGTAAAGTGATGTCAGTAGGTTTTCTTTGGTTGTTTCAAATTTGGATTGGTTTGGGTTTGCTTTTAGAAAGTTATCTATAGCAGTAATGTGAAAGATAAACCTGAAAGAGAAGCAGAAGAAACCAACTACAAGCCAGTTTTTATTGTAGTGCCTGAGAGATCCTGTGATCTAAATTAAATAGGTAAGGAGAAGAAGCATGGCAGAGACAGCAAGTTCCCATGTTTCACAAGGCTGCTATCCAGTGTCTTATGCCTTGTCAATATCACGAAGTTTACATTTGGGTGTCTGAGTTATGATCATGTCCCTGTGGCCTCTGAAGGAGAAGCATAAGACTAATTTAATTTGGGACAGCAGAAATACAGATGTGGAAGTCAGAAAACAAGTCAGGGGGAAAAGTTGACTGATACTTCCATATACCTTTTTAAAGAAGGATCAAACTATATTAATCTTGCCAGACAGTGCAGAAAACAGTAGAATGTGGATTTTTACGGTGCTATTGGATTTGATACTTGGAAGGCTCTCAGTGACCTCAAGAAGGCCAATTTCAGTAGACATGGGTAGAGACAGAGCTGTATTGTGGTTGTCTTAAAAAATTAAAGGGCATGAGGCTGAGATCTTCCAGCCAAGGTCCTTTTTTTTCTTCTCCTTTCTTTCCTTGTTTTCCTCACTTGGGGCCTTGAGCCGAATGCCTGAGTTAGGGGCATGGTCGAAAGACAAGTTGAGACCTGTGTGTCTCTGGTGGGAGAGAGGCCAGGGACAGAAGAAATGGTGGTGATGAGTCAGATAGTGCAAGCAGCATTCTCAGCTCAGGTCAGCCCAGAGACTGTCTCCAGAGGGAAAGCAAGATGACAGAGTACTGAGGAAGCTTGGAACCGGAAGCTGAGTTAGAATGCACGTTTGCAGGACTGGTGGGAGAAACATTAATATTATCCAGAAATTCTGCCAGTGACGGGGTGGAGTGCAGTGGCACAGTGCGAGTGTAGGTCTAGAATCGGAGGCAATAAACTGACCCTAGTTAGAAATTGGAGCATGTATGCCTAAGTTTCTTCAGGCACAGGGACTGAGGATATTCACAGGAGGAACTTTGGCATCAAGATCGTAGAAATGGAGTAATGAATGAACAGATACTGTCAGCAAGGCCTGAACTATAGGTGGCTAATTAGTATTTGTGAAGCCACGATGGTGGTTTGGAGGGCATGAGAAGAAAGGGACATCTGAGTTTCCGAGAACTCAAGTCAAGGCTTGGGTCCCATTCAAGGATAGGTAGGATCCAAGTAGTGACCGAGGGACCTGACTGCATGGAGGTGCAAAGCTCCAGATTTGTACCAAGTTGGGAGTTAAAAGCAACTGTCGGGACAAGAGGCGCGGTGTTTTCAGCCCGGAGAACTCAGAGTCTCCAAGCCCCAGCTTCCCAACACTTGATCCTGTCTCTTACCTGTACTGCTGTCTCCGCCCACTGGGGGGCGGGGCTCGAGGGCGAGGCTGGTGGCTGTTCAGAAGCCTCGAGAGCCATCAGTTCCTACCAGACTCTTGCTGGGGGTGCTGTCCACCCCATGGCCGGGCGCAGGTCTTCAAACGTCTACCCCCTCCCAGGCAATAGTGGTGGTGGCCTGGAAGGGCCAGTGCCCATGCGAGTTGATACCCCAACCTGGTTGAGCAGCCAAGCAGCCACAGGCAGGTTAATGGTGCGGCCAGGTATTGGACCAAGCATCTGTCCAGGCCCTGAGGTGTGGGGAGTGCCTCTGGGTCCCTCACCTTATGAATTCCGAGGCGGGATAGCACCCTACGGAGTGGGTGAGGCAAGGGCCTGGTCCCAGAGTTCCTCTGAGGATGCCTGCCCCGGACGCTACATCGCCCTGAGGTACATGCCAAATTTGGCACTGCCAGAGGACGTTTCAGCCATACAGAAAGAGATGGAGCAGCTGGCCAAGGAGCTGAGACAGAAGAGGATGACCCTGGGGTACTCACAGGCCGATGTGGGGTTTGCTGTAGGAGCTATGTTTGGGAAGGTTCTCAGCCAGACGACCATATGCCGCTTCGAGGCCCAGCAGCTCAGCCTTGCCAACATGTGGAAGCTGCGACCCCTGCTGAAAATGTGGCTAGAGGAAGTAGATGAGAAGAACCTTCTGGGCATATGCAGAATGGAGATGATCCTGCAGCAGGCCCGGAAGCGGAGACGTGCTAGCAGAGAGAGACGCATTGGGAGCAATCTGGAGAAACTGTTCTTGCAGTGTCCGGAGCCCACGCCCCAGCAAATCAGCTATATTGCTGGGCGCCTCCGGCTGCAGAAGGATCTGGTCCAAGTGTGGTTTTCTAACCGGAGCCAGATGGGCAGTTGGCCAAGCAGTGATACCTCCCGGAGGGAGGATGTGGGGGCAACGGGGTCTCCTTTCCCAGGGCCACCAGTGTGCTTTACGCTGGCACCGGGGCTCCATTTTGATTTTCCCCACTGTGGGGGATCATGTCTTACACCCCTGTACTCCTCTACCCCATTTCCTGTGCGAGGAGCCCTGCTGTCGGCCCCAGCCACCACTCTGGGCCTCCCCAGGCTGTCAAGCTGAGGGGCTTACCCCGCAGGGGAAGATCAGAGGATAGAGAGAGAAGAGGGGCTTGTTTGGGGGTTTGGCCTTCAGTTCTCTGCCTAAAGAATTTAGAGGTTGGATCTACTACGGGAGGGTGGGAGGGAAGTTAGAGCTTCACTGGCTTCATGTTGTTCTTACCTTTGTTTGTCCCTGGCGTTGGCATTACAATATATTTGTGGCTTCAACACTCGTTTCTCTTTTTTTATTATTAAAGATGTGCCCATTGTTACTTATTGTTTCAGGAATCACAAAGAGTTTACTTCTTTAAGAACACAGTATAAAATTAAAAATGCAAGTCACAGAAAACTACTACACCAGCTTTTATTACAAACAAACAGAACTTTGCACAAACCCAAAATCCAGGATGACCGTTACTCCCTGGGGAGGCCTAGAAATGGAATAGGAAGTAGCACGGAGGCCCTTTCAGACACATGAGCTGCCTTGGAGACCCTTCCCCTCCACCTTTTCACTTCCAGCCAGTGGGGTGGGGCGCATGCAAGGGTCAGTTCTCGGCCTTCTCCAGGTATGTATGCACTGCTCACCCTGACTAGTAGCGAAGTCATTCTGATCCAAACCTGATGGCACCGCAGTCCTCAGCCCCAATTCTCTCTTAACTCTAAGAGCTTCTTTTGGCTTCTTCCTTGGGATATCCCTTACTTTGTTTGAAGCTGTGACGTGCCTCCAGGGTCATTCTTGTAGTGGTTCCCGATGGTGTGAATGGTGATGGCCAGGGCACTGTTCTCCCTGCTGTCCACACTTGGCTCTACAGAACTGCTTCTCAACGGGCACTTACGCCCCCTTTCCAATCTTTTCTCCAAAGCAGATTTTTTTCAAGTTTTCCACTTTCATTCTGATCAATTTCTAATCTTCCTATTCAGGGCTGGGGATAGAGCACGCAGAGGCCCTGGGTTTGATCCCAGCATCAAAAAAAAAAAAAAAAAAAAAAAAAAATCTTTTTGCCTTTTGATTTTCTGGTGCAAACCTGCACAGGGTCTGTTAAAACTCCATCACTGTGGTGTAACTGGGGTGAAGGCTTTCTGCTGATTCGCCAGGTTCTGCCGCCATGCCTTTTCCTCATCAATATTCCAAATGATGTAGCCAGGGCATTTTCAGAAATCATACTGTGTTACTTTTATTTTGCACTTTGTTTTCTGAGTTAATTTTGGTTTTTAGTCATGGTCTTTTCATGGTTTCTTCTGGTTCTTTTCATTATTTTTTCTAATTTGTTTCTGAAGTGATTACTTTTTTTATGTGTTATTTTCTTGTTTTGTTCTGTTTTCTGGTGCCTGTTTGAGAGGTGCCTTGGGGGAGTCAGAAGGAGAAGCTGGGGCGAACTACATCCTGATCTTGTTCCTGGATCCCATGACTGATTTTATCAGCACACATGAGTCAGACAAACCTAATGCCCCTAGTTAGTAAGTTCTTCCTCATTATAGAAGCTGATAGTTCAGTATTAACTATTACGTCTGGTAAAATTTGCTATTGGAACCATTTTTTGAGTGTAAATTCAGTTTGTACAACTGAATTATATTCAAAATGTGCACCTCTACTGCCCTCCTACTCCAGTTCTGTGTCACAGTTCTGGAGTGTCAACTCTGTAGCCACTGTGCACTAACTCTTCCCTCCAGACCCAGCCACCTGCTCTGTGTCTCTGTGAGTTTGTGTACTCCAGATATGTATATTAGTAGATCCATATAATGTTCCCTATGTCTGGCTTATCTCATTTGGCACGTTTTCAAGTCTTGTATATGTTGCAGTATTTGTCAGAATTCATTCTATTTTATGACTGGACAATATTCCACTGCATAAATATACTATGATTTGTGTGTCTGTCTACTTAGACTAATATTGCTGTGGAGAGTTGTACTAGAGACTCCATTGAATCTGTATTTTCAATTCTCTTGAGTAAATACCTAAGAATAAAATTGCTGAGTCGGGTGGTTCTATTAACTTACTTTCTTTTAATAACATTTTTATTAACTCTTTGGGAATTTCATTCAATGTATTGTTCAAATTCATTCCCAGCCCCCAATTCCTCCCAGATCCACCCCCATCTCTCTACCCACCCAACTTTGGTTTCTCTCAATCGATTGTTTTCTTATCCCCATCCAGTGCAGTCTATGTTCCCAAATTGTCTTGAGTCTGGGGCCTGCCCTGGAGTGTGGTCAACCTCCCTGAGGTCATATCACTAAAGAAACTGACTCTCCTTCTCCCAGCAGTGAGCACTGTTGAATGCCAATAGCCCATCAGTTAGGGGTGGGACTCCATGCCCACCTCTCCCCTCCATGCTGGGATTTTCTCTGGCTTGAGCTTGCATGGGTCTTGTGCGTACTGTCACAACCACTGTACACTCACGTGCAAATGCCCTGCTGAGTCCAGAGGATACTGTCCTTGTAGTCATCCACTGCCCTGACTCTCAGTCTTGCCCCCACACCCCCTCTTCCACAGGGACCCCTGAGCCTTTGGGGAGTGGGTAAATAGAGCTGAGCCCTCTGCCGTCTCTTATTCTCTGCATGGTGGCCAGTTGTGGGTCCCTGTTAATTGCCAAGCATTGCAGGATTATTAACTTTTTGAGACACTGCCAAAGGTCTTCCTCAGCAGATGTGCCATTTTGAATCCCCTCTAGGAACATACAGGGTCCAGTTTTTCCGTATTCCTGCCAACACTTGTTATCCCCCTATCATTTTTCCCATTATACCCTTCTTAGTAGATGTGAAGTGATCGTTCATTGTGGTTTATATTTGCATTTCTTCAATGAATGATATTTCACAAATGATATTGAGCTTCTTTTCATATGCTAATTGTCCATTTGTTTTTCTCTTTAAAGGAATGTTGATTCAATTATTTCACCCATTTTTAAATTGGTATTTCTTTCTTTACATATTCTAGATGTTAAAACCTTTATCAGATATGTAATTTGCAAATATTTTCTTTCATTCTGAGGATTGTCCTTCTACTCTTCATATTGTCCTTTTGATGCACAAAAGTCTTTAATTTGATATGGTGGCCTAGTTATATATACAAGATATTGTGAAACTGCAGTAGTTTATACAGTATGATGGGGGGAAATCACAGAAATAAAAATTTGACCGCAGAGTTTACTGGAATGCAAATTGGTGCCACCATCATGAAAGGCTGTTAGGTAATTCACATGAAAACCTTTTAATTTTTCCATGACCCATCATTTTAACATGTAAGAATATTTATGAAAAAATACTTGTGTGCATATGTGAAAAATTTCAGAGATAAGAGTAAGCATTACAGTATTCCTTTTATTACTCAAAAAAAAGGTGTATTTGTTATTTTGACTTAGATCTCACTATGTAGCCCAGGTTAGCCTTGAATTAGGATTATACTCTTTTCCCATCACACTCAGCCCTAAGAAATGTGTTTCTCTCTTTTTAATTGAAAATAGATTTTTATACAATATATTCTGATCATGTTTTCCCACACAGAACTCCTCCCAAAGACTCTCCACCCATACCCTTCCTCTGTTTGTCTGTCTGTCTATCTATCTATCTATCTATCTATCTATCTATCTATCTATCTATCTATCTCATTAAAAATCAAACAGGCAACAACAACAAAATTATAGAATAGGACAAAACAGAAAAAAGAAAGACAAAGAAAATGCACAGGAAACACATACAGACACAGAGACACACACATTTGCTTGTATAGAAGTCCCACAAAAACGCACAATTGGAAACTATAATATATGAGCAAAAGGTGAGATTTTAAAAAGCCCAGACAAAGCATATGAAACAAAAAACCTCCAAAAATACCATTGAGTTCATTTTGTGTTAGTCATCTGCTGCTAGGCGTGGGGTCTTCCTTTACATGAGGTTTGTGTACGCAGAGTGAGACTCCATTGGAGAAAACTAACTTTTCCTTCGCTATCAGTTGTCAATTGAAGATAGCTTATAGTTCAGGGATGGGGCTTGTGTCCACTTCTGCTATATAAATGTTGGGACCCCATCTGCCTTGGACCTGTGCTATCCCTGTGCATGCTGCCACAGTCCCTGTGAGTTTTTATGTGTGTCAACCGTATTGTTTCTGAAAGACCTTGTTTCTTTGGTGTCCTTCATCCCCACTGGCTCTTGCAATCTATCCACCTCCTCTTCTCCAATGTTCCCTAAGCACGGAGGGGAGGGAATTGATAGAGGCATCCCATTTAGGATCGAGTGTTCCAGGGTCTCTTACTCTCCATACATTGTCCAGTTATCTACTACAAGAGGAAACTTCTCTGACGGTGGCTGAGCAAGACACTGATCTATGAATATAATAGAATTGTTATGTTCTTTTAGCAGAACAGTAGTGTTTGGTTTTTCCCTAGGTCCATGGCCCAGTCTCTGGTTTTTGACCACCAGAAGAGTGTCAGGCCTGGGTCCATCCACTGAAGGTACCTGAATCAGAATGAGGAGTGGTTGGTTATGCCTGCAGCTGTTGTGCCACTACTGCACTTTGTCACGTAGGCAGGTCACCATGATAGACAGCGGGGTTGGTAGCTTCATTAGTGTGTACCTCCCGCCTCTGATGTGAACAGAGTGACTGCTGGTACCATGAACATAGTCAGTAGGGGTGAAGGTTCTAATTAGGCACTGACTCAACTTTTCTGTATTCAGTGAGATATGTAGGTATTGTCTTTAGCAATAGGGCATTACGATCAGTTTGTGGAGAGGAACTAATAGCCTTTGCAATATCTGGGTTTTTTTGGGTTTCCATGGGGCGCCTTTGGCCAACAGCTCAGTTAGTTGTAATCCACTCCTGGCAGTGGAGGTTTCACTTAATTGCAAGAAATGTCCAATTGGAACTGTGTCTCTCCCATTATTTGGTGATTCTATTTATATTTTTCATATATGTATGGATTTTAAGAAGCTTCTAGTATAGTAGGTTTCCTTACAACTCTTTAAAGGGCTTTTAGTTTTAGATATCATCTCTGTACTCCTTCTCGTACCTTCCTCTTCCCTCCCCAACTCCATTTAACCCTCCTTTCCCAGTCTCACCCCCCACCCCCATCCATCTATAACTATCTGTTCTTTTTTATCCTTTCTTGAGAGATACTTCCCTCCCACGAATCCCTTATTCTGTACCTAGCCTCTGTGGTTATAGGGATTGTAGCTTGCCTTTCAAAGACTTAACAGCTAATATACATATGTAAGCAAATCGGTGCCATATTTGGGGTTTTGGGAGGTGCTGGGTTACCTCATTCACAATTATTTTTTCTAGCTCCACCCATTTGCCTGTTAATTTTATGACTTTGGTTTTTAAATAGCTGAGTAATATTACATTGTGTAAATGGTACCACATTTTCTTTATCTGTTCTTCCATTGACAAACATCAAGGCTATTTTCAATTTCTGACTCTTATAAATAGAGCAACAATGAACATGAATGAGCAAGTGTCTCTGTAGTAGAATGTAGAGTTCTTTAGATATGTGGCTAAGAGTGGTGTAGCTGGATCTTCAGGTAGATCTATTTCCAGCTTCCTGATTTCTGTCATGGCTGTACAAGTTTGCACCATCACTAGAAGTAGGTAAGTGTTGCCCTTTCTCTACATCCTGGCCAGAATGAAGTGTCATTTTTTTTTTATTCATCTTGACCATTCTTAGTGGGGTAATATGAAATCTCAAAGTAGTTTTATTTGCATTTTGCTGGTGACTAAAGATGTTGAACATTCTGCAAGTATTTCTCAGCCATTTGGGTTTCCTCTTTTGAGAATTCCCTGTTTAGATCTGTACCCTAATTTTAATTGTTTTCTTGATATCCAGGCTTTTTAGTTCTCTGTATATTTTGGATATTAGCCCTCTATTGGATGTGTAGTTGGTTGAAAAAAAAAAGTCTTCTCCAATTCTGTAACCTGCTGCTTTGTCCAAATGATGATAATGTTCTTTGCCATACATAAGCTTTTCAGTTTCATAAGTCCCATTTAATAATTGTTGCTCTTAGTGCCTGTGCTATTTAATGAGTTCAGAATTATTCCCCACTTTCTCTTCTATCAAATTCAGTGTATTTGGTCTTATATTGCAGTCCTTGGTCTTTTGGAGTTAAGTTTTATGCAGGGTAATCGATATGAATCTATTTGGATTCTTCTATGTTTAGTCATCCAGTTTGACCTGTGCCATGTATAAAAGAAGCTGTCTTTCTCCAGTGTGTATTTCTTGCTTCTTTATCAATATTGGATATCCATAAATATGTGGACTTGGGTGTGGGTCTTCAGTTCTGTTTTGATTTGTGTGTCTGTTTTTATATCAATACCATGCTGTTTTTATTACTATAACTCTGCAGTACAATTTGAAATTAGAGATGGTAATACATCCAGCAGTTCTTTTATTATTCAGGATTTTTTAAATCTCTCTTTGGTTTTTTTGTGTCCCCATATAAACTGGAAATTTTCCATTTAATTTCTGTGGAGAATTATGTTGGAATTTTGATTGGGATTGCATGAATCTGAAGATTGTTAGGATGGCCATTTTCACTATGTTAATCCATGAGCATGGGGAATTTTTCCATCTTGTGATACCTTCTTCAGTTTCTTTCCCTAGTGTGATAAAGTTTTTATCACACAGTTCTTTTACTTTGATGGAAGTTTTTGTCAGCTGTAGATGGTTTCTGTACCATTTTAGGGTCTTTTTTGTATACATTCATATTGTCTGTGAATAAAGACACTTTGACTTCTTTTTGTATTTATATCCCCTAGATTTCCTTCAGTTATTTTATTGCTCTAGCTAAGACATCAAATATTATATTGAGTAGATGTGGAGAGTGTGGACATCCTTGTCTTGTTTCTGATCTTAGTGTAAATGCTTTGAGTATCTCTCTTTTTAGGTTGCTGTCAGCTATGGGTTTGCTGTGTATTTCCTTTATTATTTTGAGCATATCTTGTATGTCCCTAGTCTCTCTAGGACTTTTATTATGAAGGATAAAAGTAGATGTTGATGATAATGTGGTTTTTGTCTTTCAGTCTGTTTATGTGGTGGATTACATTTATCAATTTACATATGTCCCAACAACTATTTTTGAAAACACCTGTTCATAATTTAACAATCCACAGTATACCTTTATCCCAGTCATCTTTGTCTGTAAAATAGTAATTTCTTGTTATAAAATACTTCTTAAAAGAACAAATGCAACCTTTTCAATTTTGCTTTGCATTTGTTATTTCTATAAAAGACATTTCTCTAAACAGGAGTGTAGCTGGAAGTTTTGCAGGACACAGGAAAACTTCCAGCTACACAGGAGTACTGGGTCATAAACACACACACACACACACACACACACACACACACACACACACACACACATCTAGTATGTTAGGCTTTAGAAGACATTGCTAAAGATTAAGATTTTAGGGAATTTTTAAAAACAAAATGCCCATTAATTCAAGAGTGTGATGTTGCTCAGAAAGTGTAGACACCTGCCATATGTCTATTTTCTTGTGCACCATGGTAATTTACAATAACTATCTGTGTGTTTATATACCTTTGTGTGGTTAACCCATATTTAGAGTATAATATAACCCAAGTCATTTCTGTGTTTCAGAATGTTTATTTTCAATTTTAAAAAGTATTTGAAAATACAAAATTCTGCTTTTAACACAGAACCTTCTATGCTTGTCATTTTTGAAGCAACCAAACAAATACAAAGGAGAGCTATGGAATTGTGAGTTGAAAGGCAGGGTCGG